TTAGGTAGAATATTTTCCTAGCTATTTTCATCTAAATGAGTAGAGTTCTGTTTGCTGTCTGGCTGTTAGCATGCAAGCTATGAATGATAAGGTTGTAAATGACCAACCTTGTGAAATGGCTTTTGAGGTACGTGACTGGGGGGGTTTGCCCCTCCTTACTAGGTATTACTATTATTACTACATTCTGAAAGTAGCAAAAACTTTCCTGAAATTCTGTGTTCTGTGGAATATACCAAGGGATAATCCTTCATGTAAGAAATGCCATCAAAGAATATGACACTTCTCGTGTTTCTGTATTGTTTTGAGGAAGTGGTGGCAGTACCAGATTTGTGGTGGCATCTAAGAAAAATCTTAGAAAAAATGCAAGGGAGAAAGAACTACAGACACCCCACTCTAGTCACACTATTGTATTCGACTGTAGAAGCTGCTTAGGGAATTATATTCTGTTGTCTTGTATGTGGGAGCTTAAGAACAATAACTTACGATAAGTATCATGAAAGCTATTACCTTGATACACAAGGGAATAGGTTAAGGATATAGTTTCAACTTCAATACATGTTTCATGACTAATAGCTTAAAACACATCTTCCTAGTCTGGCAGTGCTTTGTGCTGTGTTTAAAAAGTCAGATTTTTAAAAATAAATTTTATATATCTATTTTATCTTAAATGGTTTCTGAACACTTTTTTTTCTTCTTCTAATTTGCAGCATTACTTTACTGTTCTTTTTGGCCATGAAGGGCAGAAGCCACTGGAGCTCCGTTGTGAGGATGAAGTTGATGGAGATGAATGGGTAGAAGCTATTCACCAAGCTAGGTATGAAAATATGAGGATTTTTAATCCTCAGATCCATTTTATTGTAAATGAATTGTTAATAATTTGAAAATCTAAATTCATACTCTAAACAGAAATGTTACAGTGCCTGTGTTGCTTGCAATTCATCGGTAAATTACAGGAAAAATGACTTTATTATTCATGCTTATATCACTGTATTTTATCATTCATGAGTGATTGTGTTCTAATTGAGATCAGTTCAAGAAGAATATTCTTTTATTGGAAACAATCCTTAGGATTAGTCCTCTGTTAGAGGTGTGTAACTTTGGTCCTGTAACCAAGGTGGTGTGTTACAGGAATGAAGAAATAAGTGATATGCCAAATGAGTAAAAAGCTTTTATATGGAAATAAATGTAAGAAAGTGGAGGTCAAACCATTACCATGATAAATTGCAACAAATAAAATTTCATCGTCAAAATGAAATTGTTTTTGTCCTGAATTGTTGTTTTCCTGAACAACAATTTGTCTTGTGAAAATGAACATGGGTAGGACTTCCAGCCATGCGGTAATATTTCCCTGAGAAAAGGTCTGCGTGGCAAATGGGCAAGGTTTACAGTATAAACTAAATGAAAGTCATCTAACTGAAGGCTTGGGAAATGGGTGCGGAGGCAGTGTTGCTGGAATGCACTTTCTTCAGCCCCTTCTCACAGACACTCACCTCAGCTAATCTACAGTGCCATGGTAACACACAAGGAACCAGGCAGTTTCTGAGTTGCTTAGGACATGAGCCATGTAAACAGAAGTGATTTTGCTTTATAACTAAAGATTAACACCACCAGGCTAGTAGCTTCTAATTTAGAACTTGTGAAAAGAGGACCTGAGCTCTAGGTCTTGTGTTGTCTGAGTATCCAGTCTTTGGATCTGCATCCCTTTCTTAGGGTTGGTACCTACCTGAATGGGGTTGTGTCCTTTCTTGGAAAGCACCTGCTGGGCTGTGGTGTTAGGTGAACCACACTTACCATGGCAGCCCTCCCAGTGGTCAGATTATTTCAGGATTTGAGAAACTGTGAGGCTCTGAACTCTCAGTCCGTGCCAGGAGAGTGTGACCACCAGCGGGCAGTCCTGTATCTCTGAGGGAGGAGGAAAAGAGGGAGTTCCTCACCTTGTTTCTGGGCCTGGGTCAGTTTCTTTTGGGGAGTACAACTGCAAGCAAGCTAAGAAAGGCTCCTGACATTTTGTCCTGTGTTGCCATTCAGGGGAAGCAGAATCCCACAGTTCCCTGTTCTCAGAATAATTTTCTTCTTGTCCATTGTCTGCTAAAAGGCATGTAAGCAAGAAGAGTTAAAATGCCTCTCTGGGTAGTTCAGTCTATAAATGTATCACTCATGAATTTTCAAGGCAGAACTTGTCAGAAAATTAAGCCGATGTTAAACAACATACACTTGAAAATATTGACACTTTAAACTTGCTAAGGAGGAGTTTGTCGTGAGGTTCAAGGTGGGAGTGATGGAATTTTGAGTCCACAAGAAAGTTATCACTGCAGTCTTCAGAAGACGACCGGATCTTTGTCGTAAGCAAGATCAGTCTTTATATCTCTGTCCCTTTTGCTATCTGACATTTTCTCCCTTTATTTGTGCCTATCTGAAATGACAGTCCTAATAATATGAAACATTGGACACCACTGTGAGGGATATTCTCAAGGCCCTATGTCATTTGGGGAGTTTCTTAATCTCCCTTTTTGCATAGATCTCTATTTGGGAAATTTTCAAGGGACATAGACGTAGCTTTTCTTGTTCTAGTATTCTTCTCTTGCACAAAATATCAGCAACTGACAAAAATAATTCTGAAATTTACGTGCTAAACGTGAAGTGTTATATACTATTGTGGTTACCTCATTGCTCTGTTGTTTTCCTGCTTCAGTGGAAACTGCTTTTATTTGCTTCATATTGTGTTTAGCAAAAGAACTTGGAGCTGCGCAATTAGTTACTTAACGATTGTGTTTTTTACCAAAGATATATATAACAAAGAAGTGAAAATAATGGTTTTAGACTGTTGCATAAGAATTTTCTTGCCAGCTCCATTAAATGAAATAAACCAGATTTGTTTCAGGGATTAAATTTTGCCTGCATCATGAGTTAGACTTTCTTCTTTGAGTCTGTATTTTGACAAATCAGACAAGCTTTAGCAACTTCTTCAGTGTCACTGTTCATTTGAGGCTACCCTAAGACATTTCTCACCCTTTTCTCAAGTCTTTGTTTGGTATTGTTAAATGACATTTTGTGTAACCCTCTGAAGATACTTTTAATGTCTTAGGTAAAAGTTCTAAGAATTATTGAGTGCATTCTCCCCTACCGTTAAATTGAAAATGGTCCTGGGAACAGGTTGTTCTGTGTGAATATGCTGGCATTTGTAAAATCGAAATATTTAATTGCTTTCCAGAGGGTCTCATCCTCATAAGTAGCTATGGTAATCCATGTTTTAGCGAAGACAAAGTAGGGTTTTTGGTTTTTTTTTTTTTCCCCCCTTAGATTGACGTATACAAAAATCTAATTTTGGATTGTTTTTTGTGACTTTTTGCCAAGTACATGTTTGCAGCCATCAAAATATCTTCCCTGTTTTATTTATTTTGCAAGTTATAAATGGACTGTTGAAAAAATAGCAGTTATAATCTCACTACACCCCATGTCCCACTCTGGATAAATAGGGTTTTTATTTGGTTACAAATTCATAATTAAAAGATTTTCTGCTGTGGCATTGTCCATTTTGTTTTGGAAGATTTCACTGTGAGTGGGATGATACTGCTTATCATTTGGGGATTACCATGCACCCTCTTTGATTGCTGACAGGCTCTTGCACTCTGTGGCTAAATGCTGCACTGCTCATGTGCGTAGTGCCCTCTTGTCATTTGAGAGAGATTGGCTGGGTTGTGAGCTTGCAATGGGGGATGCAATTCAGTATATCATAGTGGGACTCCATTGTAAGTTCCCCATGCATACCTACTTTTCATCTCTTCCTATTCTGTTTGAATTCTGGGTGTTTTGAGTTCTCAGAAATCTGGGGTGGCAAACTAAGGTTGGCATCTTCCATGTTACATTTCTGGGCTGGAGGATTTAATCTTGGCAATTCCTAAATCCTCTGTCAGTGAGTGCATGTCCTGTTTTGGACTTTGTTACAGAACTCAGTGTCTTATGAAAAAATTTGTTTCACCCCGATACAGTGAGGCGGACTTTTCACCGTCTCTTACAATCTCTTCAGTGGTTTAAGTTTTGGGCTTTTTTTGCATTTAACTCAAAAACTTTTATGCTTTTTTTAAAATATGTACTCATCAAATTTCTTGGTCTCTTCTACTTTACCTTATTGGAAAGTCTTAATTTAAGTGCTTTAAGCTGTAGTTTCATATATGCTTTAGTCCTGCATAAGGCATTATATTTTGTTTATTTTTTGCCAGCTTAGTTTTAATCTGTCTCATTCCTCCAGCTCTGTTCACCAAACATCCACACAACACACCTGTGCTCACGGCACAAGGGAGAAGGAAGTGCATGTTTGGGATATGGGAGAGCATGAGTGCTATACAGGGGGAAGTGGGAGTGCAATCGGCTAGTCACTGTTTAAAGCGTATGAGAAAATGCTGCCCTCTAAACCAGCAATTTAAAAAAAAAAAAGCTTGCTCTCAGATTTGTTGGCATGCTTTGCTTGCGAATGCAGGGTGTTTTACACAGTATTTTGCAGGCAGTTGTAGGCTCAGTATGGTAGCTCAGAGCTGCCTGGAAGCTCAGAGCAATTGCCTTGTTACCAATGCCTTGCTGTTGGAGAAGCTGTATTAGTTGAGGCTTGGTGTGATAATAACCACGATTTTGTAGTTTCCAGCTGGCTGGGAATGAGGCAGAGAGAACTTGAGTAACGTTCAAAATATGGGCAAAGCAATCTCATATCTGCCTTCCAAATAATGTCTTGCCAAATGCACAGAACAACGTGCTGAAGGTTGCCAGAGCTGGTAGCTTGATAGAGTTGAGGTTGTTGCTACTCCTTATACCCAGGTTGAACCAGAAGTGAGCCTGGCTTGTATTTTCAACTCAGAGAAACACACATGTGTACATACAAACACAGCTGGCTTTGATTCCTCCCTTTCCCTGCCTTTGGTTCCTCCTTTAAACATCCCATAACAAGCCTTGTACAATCCCCAAATGCACTTCCCTGTATCCCACAGTGTGTTTCACAGCCCTACTATTGGTAACCCTTTCTCTGAACTGACTCCCTCTCATAGCCTTGGGAGGACCCAGGTTGGGTGTGGGTGCTCGTTTCTCTGGCTGGGCTATTGGGACTTACCTGCCTGGCATTGTGGCCCTTCCTGTTTGGGGAGATGGGACTTTCTTGGGTTGATCTTGTGATAGTCTTGGCATGCTGCAGCATGAACTGGAAGGGCCAGGTCAAGGGAGCTCATTTCTCTTGAGTAGGTTACTTGGGTTACAGCAGCTGCCATCATTCCTCTGTGCTTCCTTGTGTTGGCTAAGCTCGGCCTTTAATCACGCACCCTAACACTGCCTAGCAGAGGTGACGCTCTCCTCTGCTCCTTGCACTGCACTTCACAGCAATCTGTTTTCTCTCCTAGAAGGGCTGTGTTCCTGGAGCAGATGTCTCTGTGCTGCTGCAAAGGACTTATTAAGACCCCTAAGACAACTTGGAGGTTGTGTCAGATAGCACTTTAAAAAGCTTAGATACAAAACTTCAAAAGCAGCCACGACTGTTCTGGTAATTATGGCTGTGTAGATGATTGGTGTGGTACCTGTTTTTTAAGGGAACATTTGAAATCCCCCCAAGTCACACTCTGGAGATAGTAGCTGCAGGTTTGTAACAGCTCTGTGAAGCCTCAGCGTGTGCAGCAAAGTGTCCCTTCCATTGTATTTGGTCTGGGCTTCATAGCTGCTGTTGAATTCTGTCCCAGTTTTGCATAAGAGGGTAAGGTGCCTGTCTGCTCCAGTTTGTTTGTAGATGAATTCCTATAGTCAGATTTTCCTGGATAAAGGATTGCTAGGACAATTGAAACAGCTGCTTTTAGTACTAGTTGTGAGTCTGATGAGTAACATGTTGATTAATGAGATGTGTTTTCAGGGTTGTCTCATTCTCACATAAGAGGGTAGCATTCCCCTCCCCACACATTTCTGGTCCTAGAGTAAGGCATTCCCCAGCTGTCATGGTTTGGGTGGACAAAACCCTCTGTGCTTGTTCGCTCCACCCATCCAAAAGAGTTTGGATTACAGTTTTTATTTCCCTGTCTCTTTTAAAAAAATCTTGTACTAGAAATCATGAGCCATTTGGGGTGTGGACTTGTTGTTCTTCCTCATGTACCACACAGTCCTACACCCACTCACCCACCCTCCAGTCGTGGTCGCTGTAGTTGTTACCAGTCCAAGTGCAATCTCCCACCCATTTGACTGGAAGACACCTCTTTGACAGCCTTTCTAAACAGTTCTCCATACATGTCTGAAAGGCCATCTTAATTTTCTGTCTTGTGATAAGTCTCAGCCCTGTAACCCTCGCAGCCACAAATGTCCTTTGATATCCCATATCATGCAGTTCATTAAAGGTTAATGGCACTTGTGTACAGGTGGTGTCCCAGGTCACCTTGGTTAGAGTCATAGGGATGACTTGCCTAAGTCCTATTGCAACTTTTACTGTTTCCAACCGTAGTGTGGCTGTTAGTGTGCCATTAGACTTCAGAACTTGTCTGGAGGCTATTTCTCCTCTGTTAAGGAGTCCTAGAACTGCTTGAAAATGGTCATTATGGACAGATGCAGGCAATTTCTTTTGCATTCCAGGCCCCAGAGCAGTATTGCTTGGTTTTCATAAAGAGCTGATTATGTTGTGCATTTTGCATTTCAAAAGGGTGATTTGATATGACCATAAATAGTTCTGTCCAGGTCCAATGCCTGGTGATATCAGCTGCCTGAGCAGCTTTAGTACAATTAGCCTAGAGTGATCCAATGAACCACAGCTCTGGTTTGAATTCAGTACAAAAATCAGTTTATTTGCCAGTAGCACTACTGGAGGCTTTGTCTGGGTCTGCTACCACAACAAGGAGACCTTAATAATGAGGTTAAACTTTCTCCAGTTTTCCTACATTTTCTGAACGTGTCAGCTCTCGCAGGGTGTAAATGATGCATCATTTTTCTCAGGACTTTCTTCATTTCTTTCTGTCTCCGTGTAGTAAGTAGTGGTCAGTCAGAGCTCAATGTTCTTGAAATACCCATTTTGAGTCCTGTCTCTACAGACCATAGTAGGAAATAGTATAGCCTCAGTTTCCAGGATGGTCTGTCTTTGAGTCTTACTATATGTTATTATAGGTTTATAGAATTGCTGCTCTCAACAAAATGATAATACAAATTCATAGAAAGCTGTGGTTTGCAGCAATTGCTTCTTTGTATTAAATGATATCCAAGCCATAGAACGAGATCAAGGCTGGCTGCTTACAAGTTTTTACACGAGTTTTTAATCTTTCTTTGACATTTGAACACTCAGGTACAATTTTCTTTAACAAGGGATTTTGTATACATGTGTGATCTATTCAGTATTGAAAGCCTGCCCTCTTGGAAGGCTCCTGGCATTATGCTGGACATACAGGTTAGCACTTCAGGCATGTAACTAATACATACAGCGAGTTGGCTGTTGGAAGTATGAGAAGGTTATTCCAAAATCCTATGATATTCCTTTCCTAGAGCAAGTAGCAGTTCTGAGAAGGGAAATGGATAGCCAATTCTAAGTTACTGTAGGTATACATAGGCTTTTCTAATTAATTCCTCTTCTTACTGCTAATTATGGGTGTGAAGGAAAAGTTTGGTTTCCAGGCCGAGACTGATGTTTTAGACAGCAAAGCCACTAACCAGGCATAATACCCTATGTACATCTCAAAAGAACAAACACTTTTCAATCTTTCAGATCAAAGTTCTTTTTCCTTAGTAAAGAAGGCTGTAAAAGTCTGGCTTAATGCATTTAAAGAAGCTGAAAAATCTAGATGAAGTTTCTTCCCCTAAAGGAGAAAAATAAAAATAAAACGTGGAAGAAAAATATTGTATATAATAGTATCCTGACTCTTACATCAGCTTTGACTGCAGCTGCTGTTTGCCCTTTGTGATTCTATGTCCTACTATTTTCCTCGGTCCTGAACAAAAGCAAAGCCAAATATGTCAAATTTTGTACCAGAAACATTTGGTAGCAAAAGTTAAGAAAATTTTCAAAAGGATCAATAGAAAAAAAGATTTTGTCACCTACGTGGATCTGGTTTTAGGCAGAAAAGGATACTCTTCATATTAAATGTAAATCAAGGTGCTGCTGCAGGCACTAAGGAATGCATTTTCTTACATATGTTACACATGTTTTCATCTTCCTAAGATGATGTGTTTCTAACTCACTTTTTAGCACATGCAAATGCCTTCTAGGGTGCAAAGAGATTAAGTACTATGGTTTCTGAAGAAAAAGAATTCTTACAAAACAAAAAGGAAGACTATTAACAATTATAAAGAACAAAATCTAATACCTTATTACTGTTTATTCTGCAGTTAAGATACATGGATTTCTTCGTGTATTATTTTTTTAAATATGTTGTTTTACTTCTTAGAAGAGATGTTCTAACTTTTAATATTTTTTGCCATTTGTTGTTTACTACTGCAGTCATTAAAATATAAAAATAAATGCAATGGAATTAAATGAACTACTTCTTCTTTTTGTAATCTATTGAAGGAAGAAAAACTTTTGCTTTATGATAGCTGTGGGAACTCATTCTAATTATTTTAAGTTTAAGCTTTCTTTCCGGGTTAGGTGTTGAATTTAAAAGCTGTACTCAGTATTGTGTGCCACCCACCCCCCTCCCTCCCCAGTATATAACTGCACTAATACTGATTGAACTGGCAGTAAACACAGATTTAAAAAATGGTTAACTGGAGAGGATGCACATTATTACATTTTTAAAAGCCTCACTGTATTTAATAGCATTTGCTGGTTTTTTTTAAGTGCTGTAACAAGTAGAAAGAAATTTAGAAGGAAAAGATGTTCAATCTAGAAATTCTTTCTGTCAAATCCTGAGATATCTTGACAGTGGAAAAAGGTACAATAACCAGCATTTTCAGTGATAGGTCATGAAATAGTAGGAGATCCCTTGTTAAAGATTTAGGACTTCGTTCTGCCATATTTTGTGCAATTGGGTCTTTGTCTTGTAAAATTCTTTCATTCTCAAAGGAACAAGCTTCCTGAAACCTAGGTAAGGAGGCAATATATGCCTGTAGATTTTGCTGAACCAAGGCCCACAAACAAGCACTATGTAGGACTCTGCTTTTTCTGCATATTTAAATTATCCATGTGAGAGAGACTTAATCAGGTGAGGTAACAGTCTGATGAAGGTGTTGCATAGGAAGAAGCTGGTTTCTCCTTTACCTCACGTTGTCAACAGTATGATGCTCATCACTGCTCTGTGACATGTAATTGCACGGGGGATTCTGTCCTTTTTCAGCAAAATATAAATCAATGGCAATTTGCCACACAAGAGGTAAAAGAAAAGACTGATAGCATAGTTCCTGTTACTAATCAGAATAAATGCAAATATTTGAGAAATCTCAAACTGGTCTAAACAATAAAATAGGTGTTAGCAAACTAAAATAACAGTTGTGGTGGGAATTCTTCCATAAAGAGGTTTGACAGGTGGAGAGAATTAGAAATAGTTCCGAAGGAGTGCGAGATGCTCCCCACAAGTCTTCCCAAAAGATGGAAAAACCCAGCCCATAAAATAAAGAAAATAAATTGAATTAATAGAATTGTTTGGCTTAGCCTAAGAATTAGAAGCTCATAAAAAGATCAGTGCAATTATCTTGCTCTTGCTAACTGGGTAGTAGGAAAGTGGGCAGCGCTAGTGCCTGTGTCTACGAAGGACATTGAAGGCTATTGGTTTGGATGATTTATGATCAAGCTAGTCACTATATATTAAGCCAAACAAGCATCGTTTTGCTGGTTTCTTGTTACTGAGGTAGTGGTTATTCTAGGGGGTGAGTGGGGTATGGAAGAGAGTATTTGAATATTTTTACTAACTTAAATGTTTTCCCTTTTAGTTACTCAGATATTCTGATTGAAAGGGAGGTGTTAATGCAGAAGTACATTCATCTTGTCCAGATTGTAGAGACTGAAAAGATCGCAGCCAATCAGCTTCGACATCAGCTTGAAGATCAAGACACAGAAATTGAAAGACTTAAATCTGAGGTATGTGCCAGAGTCATCATGCAATCTCTGCATTTTAACATCTTGCTGTGTACTTTGCAATAATATTCAATATTTTTGGAATATTGGTGGAAAGAATGGAACCCATTAAGGTTAATGTGTAATGATCCCCCTATGAACCCTTGCCTAAATATTTTTCTTAGATATATTGAGGACCGTTAAACTGGTTGGATTACTTCCTTGTCAGAGACTTTAAGATGCCATTGTTTTGCAGTATGAGTCCCATCAGTTGGTTTCTTCTTACCTGTCTTCACATGAGGAGTTTGATCCCTGACACATTGTCTTCGGTTGTGACTATTCCAGACTGCTCAATTTCACTGAATGTGAAAACTGCTGCTGCAGTCCTGAGCTGATAAGGTCTGAAAGGCTGATTTGGTTTTGAGAGGCGAACCAGCTCTTTTGTGGTCTGTCCTCCATCTAGAGCCTTTTTGCTTTTAAGAAAACTGTGTTCAAGTCCCTGTAACCAAATACAGGCTTGTCATTTTGTGCGGCTTTAACAGGCTTGAAGAAGGAGAAAAGAGTTTTCTGTTAGTTCTGTAAACTAAGAGTTTCATTAATTTCAGAAAGCATTTAATGAATGGTTGTTTTTGTCAGATTATAGCTCTCAATAAAACAAAAGAAAGAATGCGACCTTATCAAGGCAACCAGGAAGATGAGGATCCAGATATTAAAAAAATTAAAAAGGTAAACATGCAGTCTTCTATGCTTGAGAGGAGGAGGGTGGGATGGGAGTGTACTTATGTAGTTTAGTCTGTCTAGTTTTGTCTTCAATTTTTATTTCATTAGGAACACTCAAATATCAAGATACATTTTGCCCTGCCCCTTCTTAAACCTCTTGAATTACATCAGCTTTTTGGTGCCACATTTACTTAAGCTTTCGTTTTTACTTGCAAGTCTTATATTCTGTTTCTTAAAGAAGCTTGCACATTGTATTCAACTGCTTTTAAAGACTGACATCAAGTCATAAGCTGTATCTTCTGGGAATCAAGTGTATAGTGATTTTATACTCCTTTCTTATAAAAATGCTTATAAAGATACAAGAGAATGACTTACATTCTGTCACTGCAGCTGGAATACAAATAACGCAAATACAGAGAGCAGTCATGCTTTAGTTTGTCATCTCATCTGTTTGATGGTGATTGTTCCAGGATACTGTAGCCACTGTTTTTAGTCACAGAGACAGAATTGTCCCAGTCTGTATGGCATTTACATGTGCAGCTTTTGGTAATATTGCTTAAAGCTGAATATAACCAGTCTCCAGAACTATGCCCATTGCTGACTCCTGCAAGTCCTAATGCACTGGCATGAATGGAATTCATGCTTGAAGATGTGGTCCTGTATGTGTCACCCTTATTCTTACAGCGTTCAGTCACTTACATTACGTATTACCCTTTATGGTATGTGGATTTAGTTTCTGGGTCACACAATCCGAGTCATGTTCAACATTGAGCTGGTACTCTTGTGTAAATTTTCCTTTTCATGTAGATTAAACAGTGTAATAGACACTGGAAATGCCTCTCTTAGTAGAATGAGAGCTCCGATTCTGTACATAATTCACTGCATTCTGCATCTTGATTGATTTGAAAATTAGGCCATTTTTAAAAAGTTGTGTATTCAGAATGAACTGCGACCAGTGAGATTTTGCATTTCTTTTTCAAGATGAATGATCTTCTCATCAATAACAGTGCAAAGACATACTGAAATTTTCTGTGACCAGATGTAGATGTTTCTGTAATCTAATCCACTTGTAACTTCAGTGGATATTACACTTAAATAGATTTTTCTGTGACATAAACATACTTCTTAAGAATGCCAAAAATCTGCCTTTTGTTGCTGTCCTAGATGTCTGATAGTAAGCAGTATGTTGATACTTAGCTTTAAATGCATGTGGTAAGTGGTATCTACTCAAAACAGAGAGCAAATGGAGTTTAACAACTATTTCAGGATTATGTCACTAAAGATGTCAAGTCTGTCTTGAAATGTCTTACCTGGAGGTGTTGCACAATACCTTTGGGGATACAAGAAAAAGTGTAAGGGGAGGCAAAAGGAGTTAAAAACCCTGCACAATGTGTAACATCGTTGTGCCCATAGGAAAAATGTATACAAAGGTACAGCATTTGAGCATGCAGTAAGAGACACCTTGATATGTATGTGATAGCTTTTCAATCAATTTTCTGGCAACAGATATGACCAAGTGATTGTGGGAATTTCATTAACTAATGGAAACTTAAAAAAAAAAAATCAGGAGCAATTATATGTCAGTAAGGGCAACAGACATTTTGGTTTTTTTAAAGAGGCGTTTAATTTAGAGGTTTATTTCTACAAAGGGATTATGATAAGTTGTGTAACTTTTTTTCCCGTTCTTTGTTTCTGCTTGGTCCATTTGTAGGTCCAGAGCTTTATGCGGGGCTGGTTATGTAGAAGAAAATGGAAGACTATTGTCCAAGATTATATTTGTTCTCCCCATGCAGAAAGTATGAGAAAAAGGAATCAGATAGTTTTTAACATGGTGGAGGCCGAATCTGAATATGTGCATCAGCTTTATGTGCTTGTCAACTGTTTTCTGCGGCCCTTAAGGATGGCTGCAAGTTCAAAGAAGCCACCTATCAGTCACGATGATGTTAGTAGCATTTTCCTCAACAGGTATGGGCGTTTTGTTTGCTTTTGGGTGTTTCACTGACTGCTTCTTCCCATTCTGCTTCAGTTTACAGTAATGAGGTCTGGCACTTTGGAATTTTTTTTTGTCTGATGTAAGTAATGTCACTGAGGTAGACCATGTTTTGAGGTGTAAAAGGCAAGGTGCTGCCAGTGATGCTGTTTGAAACCAGCTAGACCTCTTTGCCTCTTTACATTCTATTTCTTCCTCTCCTAGAGGAAGGAAAGGAGAAATTGTGCCTCATGGGGCAGTTCTCATAGTCTTCTGTCACCTTTCCTGTTCTCTTTTCTCTTAAGAGAGCAAAATTGGATTTAGTGGCCTCATATGATCCAGATAAGACCCTGAGGATGAGTATGTCAAATCTTCTATTTTCTGTTTTTCTGCCTAAGGAGCCTCCTTCCCTCTCGCTGTCTTTTCATATCCTACAAAGAAGAATTGTTCTTTGCATTAAGCATCCAAACACTATCATAATGACTATGAACAAATACGCCAGCAGGCATCTAAAATTTTATACAGGATTGGGATTGCATCCAAGTCTGCCCCAAACTTCTAAGAAATAGAATGTATTCCTTTAGTTACGAGACAGGTTTCCCTTTCATAGCTCATTCATGATCACTGTGGTCTTTATGGTTTCTCTTACAACTTGGTATGTCCCCTACTTCTGTTGACCTCGTGAGAAATATAAATAAGTAAATAAGTACAATATTAAGGTTCATATTGTAGAAAAATTAAAGGCCTCAGATCTTAAACAGCAGCAAGCGAGAATATAAATGACTACCACTGGCTTGAGGCTTTCTGCATCTTACTGATCCTTTTAAACTGCTGAATGCATTGTCAGAGATATTCTTGGAAAACCTATTCGTTACTGGAACATGGTTTTTAATAGATTCTTTTGTTTAAAAGAGTAAAACTGAATATGCTTTCTACATCAAACACTATATATTTTGTAGCAATACTACACTAAAAAATTTGAACAATAGAATAAAAAGAAGCATGTATTTCCATAATGATAACTATCTTATGTGTTTTCTAGTAAAGTGCAAAATATGCTAATAAACGGGAAGAGATGTTTCTCTGTGAATTGTTAATTCAGAAAATAAGACCTGAATTGTTTTTTTGTTTGTTTAAATACTTGTTTTTCAGTGAAACAATCATGTTTCTTCATGAGATATTTCACCAGGGCTTAAAAGCAAGAATAGCTAATTGGCCTACCTTAATCCTAGGTAAGTCACTATATTTTCTATAGGGGTACAATTTTCATATTTATTTTTGAAATTACAGCAAGGTCTTTTGTTTTTAAGGACAGGACTTTTTAAAAGTCCATTCTGAATGGAATACATTTCCAGAACTAACACCATGAGTTCTGGTGGAGTTGGAGTCCCACAAGGGCAGTAATGACTGTCTTGCAGTCCTTATGACAAAGCCTCTGCCCTAAGCATTGATTATACACGGGCCCCTGAATTTTTGGAATAATCATGTTTTGGCAGGTGAAAAGAACTGAGTTTAATGTTTCTAAAACCTCACTATATTGAAAACAGAACTGATTATAGTAATTCCTTTCCATAGAACATAGTAGTTTCTTTAAATATATATTTCAAGAGATGGGTAGCTGGGAAAAAAAAAAAAAAAGCATTTCTTGACTTTTTCTAGCTGACTTATTTGACATTCTGCTGCCAATGCTGAACATATATCAAGAATTTGTTCGGAATCATCAATATAGTCTACAAGTACTGGCAAACTGTAAGCAAAACAGAGATTTTGACAAACTCTTGAAGCAATATGAAGCCAACCCAGCATGTGAGGGGCGAATGCTGGAAACTTTCCTTACTTACCCCATGTTTCAGGTAGTCTCTGTATATTTTTTTGTGACTATTTGTTTTTCATGTTTGGTTGATTCATTTTGTGTTTCTGACATTACGATTGATTGGAGAGTCTTCTTGCTTAATTAAAAATACTCATGCAAATTACTTTAGTGTTCATTTATTTCATTGTACTGAAGCCCTGCCTGTAGAGATATTTTCTCCAGCTATACTGATTCATCTCTGTTTGGAATCTTATGTATGTTGAAGGGGAATGTGGGATGAGAAATAGTGCCAAAGGAAAAAAAGCTGAGAAACAATTACTTGACTTCTGCCTGCTACAGGATTATGAAGCAGTCCAGAGGGGGTTACTATACCTGGTATAGCAAGTTAGAACAGCTACAAGCATTTCACTAGGAATACATTTTGAAACTTTCCTCCCACCTTGTTTTCCAGTGACCCGGTCTTAGAAAATGAAAATGCAGAAGTTTTGAAAGCTTCATTGTCCTTCCAATATCTTGTCTTGATCTCCCTGGATTAATTATTCCCCTCTGCTTTAAGATGTCTATGAAACATTGGTCTGATGATTTTGTGACTTTACAGTTAACCTAACATTTTACTGATCTAGAGAATAGTGGACCCCGTCAGTCTGTTCAGTTACTGGCAAAGCAGGTAGAGTAAAAAAAACCAACCAAAAAAGGGGACTCATTGACACCTGTGTTAGAGCTAATTATTCATATTAGCCTAAAGGGCCATTAGCACAATACATCTTTTTTTTTTTTTTTTAGCTTTAAGCTTGTATATGAAAAAGTTTGGGGATTTTTTTTTTGTTGACCTGGAACAAGGTCATGGGACCTTAGAAAGAGAGAGATGTGGTCCTATTCATATTTGATGGAGGATGTCATTGCTGCTGACTTTTCATTTCAGCACAATAAGCAGCCATGTCTCCATTTCCTGACTAACTTTTATGCTGTAAAGACAAGATATTCTGCACTATAACTTTGTTGTGACTAAAAGCCCTGAAACTGCTTTAAGTAATAAATGGATCAGCGTCCTTGTGCTACTCTGTGGCCTTTAATAGTGAAACACTGCATATTCTTCAATGTCCATTAGTGCAGTATGAATTTTGTCTAAATGCAAACATGTCATCTGGCATTTCAGAGTCATAAAAAATTTATATGCATGTATCCTATTAAAATTGAGGGAAGGTATGTATGGATCTCCCAGGGTGTTTTGAAAGTTTTCTCTATTGGCATTCGGATAGCAGCATAAAACAATGAAATTTAGTGTCATATTTGTGGCTGCCTCTGATCTGATCTTTTCCTTAAAATGTAATAAATAGATCTTGTGCTTCCTCAAACTGAAAACATACATATGTATGTGCATTCTCTATTACCCAAAAGTATTAAGTGTTTTTAGAAGTAGTCATATTTAGGATGTTTAGTCATTTATCTGTGGATATTAATTTTAAAAAGGCTATCTTTGCAAAACTTTTCTGACCAAGGTAATGGCTAATATTTAACAAAAAGCTGTATTGGAATTATTCCTTTAAGGATATACTGATTTTATACCTAATTTGTTTTAAGATTCCTAGATATATTATTACACTTCATGAACTTCTGGCTCACACGCCACATGAACATGTTGAGCGAAAAAGCCTCGAATTTGCTAAATCTAAACTAGAAGAACTTTCAAGGTAAGATTTTTCTCCCTTAATGTTAGATAATCTTGAATCAAAGGTTTTGAAATGAAAAATCTTATTTTCTTTATTTTGATTTGGTTTTAGTCTTTAAAAAAATCTGTCAAAGAAAAGGATCAAAAAATGAAAAACCCCCACAAAATGCCCCAACCTAATATTGTGTCTCTTCTGGTGGTTTTTTTTTTTTTTTGCTAACATAAATCTGTAACTGTCTTCTTGTATTTTGGGTAGGGGAGAAGAGGAGTTGCTATAGGAACAACCTAACCCTGGGTTATGAGCAAAGCAATTTTCTTTACATAGAGAAATTTTTTTTTTTTTTAAAGATTTAAAGGAAAAGGGCATTTCTGATGCTCTGTGACAATGGGAATCCATAAGGGTCTTGAGAAGTACCAATTTCTCAATCTGTGTTACAGTTTATGGGCATTAATGAGATAACCGATTTTCACATATGCTTCAAAAAAAGGAACATTTAGAGAACTGGAACATTTTGAGAACTGGAGCTCCGTGCAGAAAACTGCAAAATGAAGCTTTATCCTGAACTCCCAGACCATGCTCAGGTGTTCCTTTCCATCAGCCTAGTAAGAAATCAGGTTGTTATCTTTGGGAAACACAGTTTTCTGCTGTGGACATAGAAATGCTGCATGAACTCCAGGATATATCTTGCATATCTGGAATATTCACCAAAGACTGACTTGGAGAATATTTAGTTGTAAAAGAGGAATCGCTTTATAGCTTTTGTTAATTGCATGGGCTTGACTGCTCAGTTTTCTTTTCCTGATAAGGCAAAGTTAGTACCTCATGCAAACTACCCATTAATTTTAGAGCTTACTATTTTTTCCTTTAGTCCTGCTGTATCTTTGAGTCAGGTCGTGTTTTGCCACCTCTTTGAGCTCTGACTTCTTAAAGAGCTGGGCAGGCAACATCTTTGACAGAAATTTCTGGGTTTGACTCCTGCAGTGTTCAGCATCTTCTTCCCTGTTCTGAGGCCATCTGAAACAGAAAGAAGTAATGTCTTCTTTCCACTCAAGCAAAGCAGAGAATTTCTCAGCCCAGGGTTAGGTGCACAAGCAGATCAATCAACTTTGACTTAGCTTCATCTCGTAAGTCAAAGTTCATTGCTGATCCAACTAATTTGTCACTAACATTCAGAATTGGAGACTGAGAGTGATTGATCCTCCTCTGCTCACAAGACAGGCAGTGTGGACCATAAATATAAAACTCTGTGACCCATTTCCATCCCTTTAATGCAGTTCTGAGGGCGGAGGAGCTTTCAGATAGTGCAATCCAGTTCAGGAAAATACTATACATCACAACACCACATAAACTTCTGGGTTGGTTTCAGCCAAAAAAGAAAAATCTGTATTTTTAAAAGTGGAAGCATGTAAGCAGTGAGACATCAAGGCTGTGGTTGTTATAGGAAGCAAGGAGGAAGTGAATGATACATTCAGATGTAAACTGAAGCACAGCAGAAGGGGAACCTGAAGTCAAGGGGCAGGGATTGTGGAGGCCGCATCCCTGAAAGTGTTCAAGGCCAGGCTGGATGAGGCTTTGAGCAACCTGATCTAGTGGAAGGTGTCCCTGCCCATGGCAGGGAGTTGGAACTAGATGGTCTGTAAGGTCCCTTCCAACCCAAACCCCTCTGTGATTCTCTGATTCTACAATTAGTAATAACCAGTACAAAAAGCTAGGAAACATTTCCAGGTTTGTGACATCCTAGTCTATTACAGATCAAGAAGTACTGTTCTGTCAGCTGTGACGAGTTTCTAGCTGTGTGGCATCTGTTAGATGTGTTTAGGAATAGTCAAAAAACAAGTCTGGCAAAATTGCTTCCACTGCTGAAAAAATGAAATGATTGCAAGAGTGTTTTGAAAGGGAAGGGGAAAAGGCAAGAAACTTGTTCTAGAGTGATCATGTACAGCATGTGTGTATCTGTTTTGTAGCAGGTGGCAAAGGGTATCAGCTACCTCCTGTGCCTGTACTGTGAAAATGAAAACAGGTACAACAGGTGCCAAATACATTTCAGGGAATTTAAAGTGCATTTTGCATTTTGTGTAACAGGGTGATGCATGATGAAGTGAGTGACACAGAAAACATCCGGAAGAATCTAGCCATAGAAAGGACAATAGTAGAAGGCTGTGATATATTACTAGATACCAGCCAAACTTTTATACGCCAAGGTAAGACATTCTTCTTTAAAGCTATCTATATAATCATGAAAAAAAAATGCATTGAGACCAGTACGGTTCATGTTGCCATCATTGGACAGGTCACTATACTGGGCACAGCTAACAACCTGAGACTACTCATGGTCCATGGAGGTTAAGTCACAAAATGCCCTGATGACAACTAATTTTGGGCTATAGTTGGTCCCCACTACCGTGCTCTTTCCTTCAGATACCATGGCAGACAGCAGCACATAAATGGTAAATCACCCGTGGGACAGTAACGTGGATACTGCCTGGACTGTGATCTTCAAAGGGATGGAAATTACCTACAGTTCCACAGAGACCAGGGCTACCTGGCTGGGTAACATGGCCATCCCAGCAGATGCCAATATTTGGGCAAATGTGCAGGAGGAGCTTGAAGCTTTGTCAGTGGTAAAGTGATAGCTGGGAGAGAAAGCAGCTGCCAGTTGTTTCCATTTTTCTCGGTGCTTTGGAAACATCTCAAGCTGATAGTGCAAACATAGATATAATACCTGAACATACTCACTTTGCTTCTTGAGAGATGCATTTTGGGGCTTTAATGGGAGTTCAGGATAGGCATAAAAAACACTTCTGCAAGAAGTCATGAAGTAAAGGCATCCTGTTCTGCCAGGAATGTAGGACTATTTCTAATACAATAGTTAGCAAAAGAAGAGAGGAAGAGCCATACTATGTACCATATTGGTGGTTTTGGAAACGTGTTCTGTTGAAGAGACATAGCAGAGGTGGAATTTGTTGCTAAGTTCTACAAAGTTGTGTTAAAGTTACTTTTTAATTTAAAATAAGTGCCACCTTTTCCCAGTAACTGTAAACTGGCTGCAGTTCTTACCTGTTGGGGCTTTGTTTGACGATAAACAAGTAAAAGTGAAAAACTCATGGCTGAAGCTTGTATTTCTCTCATTTATACAATAATTTGCTTCTGGATGTTTTGCAACAAATTGTTGGGTTTTTATATAGTAACTACAAATCTGTAGCATAAGTTTTTTACTAGGTACAACCTTCTTTATGTCACCAAAGTTTTAAATGTAGTTAGGAATATAAATTAGGTGCATACCTTCTTAAACCTTTTCTAGATAGCCTCAGCAGTATATTTGGTATTTAAATAGAGCCATATGCACAGCTGGTAATTTAATAGGCGTTGTACACATTTTGAAATCCATTTTGTGGTGTTTGTAGTTGTGTGGCCAAAGTAACTAACTATGAAGTCTTTGTTTATAACTTCCAAGAGTGTTTGTACAACAGTCACTATTAAATTACTTCATTCTTCATTAAATATGTGCATGTGTTATAACTAAGGTATTTAAAGAGTTATGAAAATGGCTTTAAGGAAAATATAAAGCTGTTGTGTTGCATCCACAGTCAAAAAATTGTAGGTCTGGGATTCTCCTAGATTGACTTGTATCATACAATTTAATTAAACTTCAGAAATCTTTTTCAATGTGATTACAGTATTTGTACTTGTGTATTTGTTGGGGTTTTTTCCCCTTAAGATTGGTTGCTATTATTTTGTTTGTGTACCCAATGTTTCATCAGTAAAAACCTAGTTTCTTTTCTGTAGAAATCAGTCTGAAAAAAAGTGCTGTAGGGAGTGTTAGACACAGGTCAAACACATAGTTTAAGTAAATTAATTTCAGATTTATTTCTGGGTATATGGTCAAAGGATAGTGGGCAAGGCTGTATGTTAGAGAAGGCGGTATCACAGTTTATCTTTTGGAACATCCACTGTATGTGATTTTGCGTAAGTGCAGAAATCTGAACAGAGCTAATAAAGTAATACCGAGCCCATTTTCCTTTGACATCTGACAGAGGAGTCGCTTTGGCAGTGATGTCCATCCCCTCTAATTTCAATTAAGTTCCTATTCTTTGTGTTGATCAGCGCAGATGGGTACAAGAAACCTCTTTTCAGGTTAAAAAATGGGGAGAGGTGTCTTTACCTTTACCTTTGTTCAGGCTTTTTCTGTGAAGGTTAATTACAGCTTTGCCCTATGTTTTACTTTACTAAGAAGAGGTTGATTCTGTTGGGCTGTACAAGCTGAGACTGTAGGAACTGTCTTGCAGTGCTTTCCAATGTAGATTCTGGATTCCACTTCAGGCTTCTTGGGGTCTCCTTTTCTCTGTCCCTTACTTTGATACAGACTTTATTGTCAGGCACACTGTAAGTCATGGCAAACAATTAGGGAACATTGTCTTTAGAAGTCTGAAGGAAACACAGGCAGTCTGAATCTGCAGCCTAACATTGACTGACACCCAGAAAACTGGGCATCTGGAGACGCTTTAAGATGCCTCCAAACACTCTGTCTGATATTCCTGCTCTCAGTTGCTATGAATTTACCTTAACTGCTAAATGTATCACAATTGCAAAATCATGGAATAGTTGAGGTTGGAAGGGACTTCTGGAAACTGTACAGTCCAACCTCACCTGCTCAAGGCAGCATAAGATGGAGCAGGTTGCTCTATACCATGTCCAGCTGAGTTTTGGTTGTTTCCAAGGATGGAGACCCCACAGCCTGTCTGAGTGAGCAGCCTTTTCCAGTGTGTGTACCGTACGAGGTAAACTTAAAAGGCCTGCAGAATGGAGAAAACCAGGATGAATTTGTAAATCAGGCGGTTATATGTAAGCTAAAAAATAGTTTTAAAACCCCAAACAACCTTTTGTATTTCTTGGATTGAACTAATATTAACAGAGTGACTATTCTGGCAGTATTGAATTAATGACAGTGCTTAGGTCTGTAGCTGGATAAAAATTCTTGAGATTACACTGACCGTCCAAACTATACTGTTAACAAGTGTTCTAAAATTAGGCTCACTTGCTCATTGCTATGGTACATTTGCCAATCCAGGACCACTTTTTCCTTAAGAGGAAATCTGTAGTAGAATGCATAGTGGGCAAATGCCCAGTTTCGTTAATCACAAAAGCTTGATGGGAATGCTTGAGGTCCTTACTTATGTCAGCCATGCAGCACATACAGCAGATGTGTTTCTCTCCGTAAATACTGGGTATTGAAGAGGGATAATACAGTCTCCTTTTCCACATTTAAAAAGAATGAGTGTCTTCTGATGTACCTTATTAAACAATAGCATTTCAGCTGCATACAAGAACACCATTTAACCTTCAGCCCATTTTATCAGAACAGAATATGGTATTCCTGAAAGCATTCTAATGACCAAAAAAAAAAAAAAAAACAAAACAAAAAAAACTCTCTATAAAGCTTTATCTATAAGCATATCATATTTATAGATACTATTATTCTAAGAAGAAAACCAGGAATAAAACACAGAGGTTAAATATGTTACCCTAAAAGTGTAGAGGAAATTTCAGGAGAAAAATGACAGAATTTTATCATGGGAAGTTGCCTGGGAATTGTTTTATACATAATCCTTGTCCTTAAAATGGGAGTTGGAAGACAGTAGGTATAACATGGAAAAGTCACTGTTACAGCACATGGGAATAATCTTGATATCATCTGCAATTGGGACACATAGGCTGTTTTGTTCAGGAGAGATATACAGCAGCCAGTATGGTTTTGGTCAGAATCTAAGTGAACCTAAATATGTTCAGACCTTTGCAAATTTCTAGAGTACGACTTTTATCCCATTGTTTTGTTGCAGTGTCACAAATCACGTTGTACAGAGTTTATCTGTGAACTGGCTGTCAAAGAACACTGTACTGTTGTAAATTTAGTGGTGTATATTTTGCTATGCCAGATGGCATGAGTTCCAAATATATTAATAAATTAAGGCTAATTAAATGTATAGAGGGGCTTAAGTGTATAAAAATACTGTGTAGCTAGACAATAGCTTTCTCAGTTACCTTAACTTCTCAGTTTGTTAGTTTAAGACTGAGTATATCAACTTCTTTACCTTGCAGCAAGTGAGGCATAACAGAAAACTTAAGTCAGCTACTTCTTTGTAGAATTAGTTTCCTGCTGGATTAGCTCTATTAGCTAGCTAATGTTGGAATAAATGAGAGCCAGCGTAAAGGTGATAGTAAGGATAGACGTGTGAGAGTGAGCTAAGAAGGTCTCCTGGCTGCCCTGTCTGGTAACAGCAAATTCTATCATAAAATCTTTCCCTTTGATATATAAAGGAATTGCACTTCACCATCAAATTTAGCTCCAAATCCAAATTCGGAAGTGGTACACATGGTGATGTCAATCTGGAAAAGAAGTTGGTCAGAAACGGTTTTTGAGATATGAAACAGCAGAGAAGCAAAGCTATCCCCAGTCTGGAGTTCTGCAGAGCACAAATTCAGACTTACATAACCAGGTTCAGTTTAGTGCAGAAGTCTTTTACTGGTAACACATTTTACATGAGCTGTGGAGCACTAAAATTATGCAGTACAAGAGGAGGAAATGTGCTTAATTTCCATCTCTTTTGCACACCAGCACACACATGCACAAACTCTTTTCCTTCAAAACCTCTTTTTTCATCCTTTGTCTCTGCCTTGTAAGGTACCTTTCACAAGTCTAGCAGATGTCCAAAGTGTAGTTGGCTGTTCATCTTCATGTCCTGATCAATGTGCTATTAGCATGTTTGAATTGCACAAGAATTTGCTCAAGATCTATTCCTGCCATGTATGTAAGTACTAGCCTAGACTGTACATGCTTGAGTCTGTCATAAAAAATAAAGTGAACGCGTGCAAAAAAAGATGATCGACTTGGGCTTACAACATATGCTGGTATATATTGATACTAGAATGAAGTTGCTTTAATTAGTATCATAATATTCAATGCATTAACACTTTAACCACTGCCTACCAAAATACTAATATACTACAGTAAATTTTGCATTTATATTATCAGGCTCCCTTATTCAAGTTCCTTCAGTTGAGAGGGGAAAACTTAGTAAAGTTCGTCTGGGATCATTATCTTTGAAGAAAGAAGGAGAAAGGCAGTGCTTCTTATTTACAAAACATTTTTTAATTTGTACAAGAAGTTCAGGAGGAAAACTGCATCTTCTCAAGGTATAGACTTTGAATTATCAATCAATTTAAAAAATGAAAATACAGCTTGAGTGAAATATAAGTATTTTGTTATTTCATGGCTTTAACCTGAGATTTGTATGTTTCATTATAAACAGAAGTGAGGTGATGCACAGTAATTAACTACTTTGTCTTCTCATTGTAAATAATAGGATTCAGCCAAAGTTCTTACTGACTACAATTTTTATTCTATTTTAGTCAATTTGTGTAAAATAGCACTGAGTGCAAGTCAGTTTTCAGTGCATAAATCAGCCAGTACAACCCCATGGAATTACCAAACAATATTTTCAAGAGCTCTAATAAAATTAATTTAAAAAGTCAATTCTGTTTTCTTGAATAGCACATTCTCTTAAACTGAAAGCTTTTCTGAGAACACTCCAGTTATATTTTTTGAGAATCAGGCTTTGATGGTGCTGGCTTGGGAATAAGTAGATGTTGGTAGTTTACAGGATGGATTATGTTGAATAGAATTTTAATTTGACAGACATTTCTGAGAGGTTATGAAGACTGTTGGTATGCTTTACCACTTTGTACCCCTTAAATAGTTTAAGTATTTTGCAAAATAAATACAGTAACTGAACTTCTTAAAAAATCTTGTATGTATTTGATTTAGATTCAGAAAATGAAGTTCAATTAGCCTTTTTGAAACTTGTGAACCAGTCTGTATGTGAGGTAAATTATAGTATGGTAAAAATGGAAAAGATTTTGTACATTTGAGTGTATTATTCATTTGTTGGATTAAGAAAAACATTATATTTTATCTGTCTGGGTTTAGTTCTTGAGGAAAAATGTGCATCATGACATTGATGTATCTTCCTTAGAGCTATGAGTAATGTAAAATCTTAGAGTAAGGTATTTCAAAGTTTAAAAACAACTATAATGACAAATGGGAACAAGTGTCAACATTTGTGAAAAAATGTGCTTTGTTTTCATAGACAGGAGGTGTTCTGTCTTTAATAGAGTGCACACTGGTTGAGGAGACAGATGCGAGTGATGATGACTGTAAGTTATGTTCAGCTGTTTATAGTAATTACAGTTTCTAGTTTCTTAAAATTGTTACACTTTGTTATTTTTCATAAGAGCAAATTGATATGTTCTCCCCTTTCATGAAACCAGAGGAATACAGTATTAAACTGAATCAGTAGAATAGGTGTTTTAATAATGGACATGCTGGTTTGGATAAGGGTTTGTTTTGTTATGTTTGTTCTTGCTGTTGACATCCCACATAGGATTTTCAACTGGCTGAAGGAATATGACAAATTATTTGCTGACTTCCATATGCAAGTTCACCCTGAGGGTCTTGGAAAGAAACAAAATGCCTTAAAACAAGGAGCAGATAATTGTCTTTTTTAAATACCTGGGGGTCGAGCAAGTTGGCAGAATTAGTGGAAAGTTTATGTCTTGGACTCCCTACAAATCTTGACTGCGCGCTTGTTCAAATGAAATAACAGAACACATTCCCAAGCTGATTTTATTGTTACCAATTTTGGCTTCCATCCTGTAGTTTTAGGCAAGTTTTACACTTGAATTGTGAATGTAGTTTCAGTAATTTCAGTGGTATTTCTAGTATGCTGATAATATATCAGCATAGAAGCATCATAAGGACTTCAGCATTATTTAGCATCTTTAAACATGCTTATAGCGACTTTGCACGTTTGTGACATTTTTTGTATTTGGTGTATGTGAAAACCAAAATAATTTGTGGATCCCCAGTTGGATTTGCTCTTTGTCAGAGAGATGTTTTAAACTAACTTCCATTTAAAATGAAATCTTTATTTTCTTTGTTTTATAGACTGAAATCTCACATTTTGTCTTTTTTTTGTCTTTTTTTTTCTTTATTTTTTTCTTTTTCCTTTCTGGCTGTAAAGCAAAAGGTTCTGGACAAGTGTTTGGACATCTGGATTTCAAGCTTGTAGTTGAACCTACGGATGCTCCTCCTTTTACTGTTGTCCTTTTAGCCCCATCACGACAGGAGAAAGCTGCATGGACAAGTGATATAAGTCAGGTAGCTTAATGCATTCTTTATATTTTTTTGGATGGAGAGCTTAGTTTATTCTGTATTTCTGAAAATTAATTCAAGAAAGGGGATATTGATTTCTTGTGGGCTGGTTTGCTGTGATGGATATGAAAAACTCCTAGTATTACCTGTTTTCCTCACAATTCTGTGTCTGCATTTGAGTCATGAGTGAAATGTGTTTCTCAATGAGAGAGATGAGATACAAAATATAGAATTGTCAGTTGACAAACATAATACTAACAGTAGTCATTTTTCTGTTGAAGGAGAGCCCATACAAATATTTAAGAAGGATAGTATTTGTTTGTTCATAATTTACATACGGATCAAAAAACACCCGAGTATCATGAGAGTGAGAATGATACCATATCACATCAATATTACATCCCATGCAGTAAGAAAGGGAGATAAACCCTGTTTTCTACCAAAAGAATACTAAAAAACCCATCATAAATAATTACTAAGCATTCTGACAGTCTGCAGGAACTGTCTTTCTTGTAAAAGAAGAAAAATGCCTTCAAATACTTTATAATAGGGATAAACTTTTTGTGTGTTTTTTAGTGCTTTTGGCTAAAAACATAGTAG